ATATATATATACTATAACTAATTTTTAATCAAAATATTAAGAAAATATTTTCATTAATTAAAATTTTTAATGATTAAAAATTAGAAGCAATGAAACAAACCAAGATTGCATTTGCTTCTTTGGCGAGTTTAAGCATGGCCAGGTTTTGGTCGGTTATGAAGTAGTCGTTTTCCAATAATTCCACGCCCTGTAAAAAACAAATGGTTCAGAATTAGGAGGTGCAATTTAAAAAAGAGAGTGCAGTTAACCGAAAATAATATGGCTGCTAAATTAAAATTTGATTGATAAATATTTAAAAAATATTATTAAAATCAGAAAGTTATGATTGATTATTTTATCATATATTCTACTGAGTTTAAAAATTTAATAATTTTAAGGCTTAATTTGACCAAATTTTGATTATATTTTAAACCTATTTTTTTATAGTTTAAAGCTCTATCTACCTCATAATCATTTTTCAAAGGATTAATAAATAAATAAATAAATAATAAAAATGAAAACGTATCTAATCTTAGATTCCAAGCACATGAGATTTCCGCATGACATTTTTGTTTGTTTGTGCTTATTATATTCGTGTGATCTTCATGTCCTGTCATCCTCATGTGAATGAACTGAAAAAAGCTCATTGCTCACAAACAACTCATGTTCAACTCATTAAGTAGCCCGTATTCTACTTGTTGCTCAAGTAAACGAGCTGAAGACGAACATTTTTTTTTAAGCTCGAATTAAAAATAAGCCGAACACAAATAGTCTTAGTTCGCACACCTTCAACTAGTTTTGGCTTGAAAAAAATATATATATATATATTATTTATAAAATAATATATTATATATATTTATATCTATATTTAAATCATAATTATTTGAACTGTGGTTATATATTCTCTTTTGTATAGATTTGGACAATTTTCGAATCCAACAAATTAAATCTATTTTTTTTCCAAATAATTTTAAGAATTCAATTTCGAGCTGAACGCAACCAAAATGTTACGAGTCGAACATGAGCTAAGCTTGAGCTCGCTGAAACTCGACCACTTTGCCGCCCTACACCCGAATACATCTATCTATATAAAGATCTCCATATAAAGATCATTCAAACTTGATATTTTTTCCTCTGACTAAAATCTAAAAATTTCGTGAGATTCAGTTTCATTTGCTATTTTCCATTACAAAATTCATTATTCCTCTCAATTCATAATTTTAAATCTAAAATTAAATTTTTTTAAGGAAATATATATCCAAATATTCTAAATCAAAACA